ATTGACATAAATTTTTTAATTTTGGGGGTTGCTCACTTAATGCCCTTTCAGGCTTATTCCTAAATTTCTTTCTAGCTTCTTGAGTCATGAGATAAACATAATGATTATCTGCTGCTTAAGCCTTGTCTCCTCCTAAATTAACATAATGGTCAATTCATTTACTTCCACTTGTCTTAATTCGAAATGACGCATACTGAGTGGACAAGAAATTGAGAATAAATTTAATGAGAAATTTCTCATCCACAATCATCCCTAAGGTTCTCAATTTTGTAGCAACATTAGTCATCTTAATAACATACCTATACATGGTAAGAGTACCAACAAAATTGCATAGTAATGATATAAATTAATAATTTTCGTTTTAGATATTTATCTACAATACGAAAACATTCTTCTAATCAAATATTCCTTAGCACTATCACTATGGGAAACAATTATTCGCATAACTATAATGCTTAATCTGTTCAAGCTTTCTCAAGCTTTATGGAGAATCTTTTCTCCCTCATTGTCTTTATCAGTAATAATAGTAGGTTTTTAAAGTTTAAATGTTAAATCAAGATTTAACATATCTAAATTTTGAACTCAACTTACTCATTCTGTTATGAGAAGTTAGTCCTATTGAGAATCAGAACAAATGTAGCATGCGCATTAAGAGATATAATAAAACAAATATAATAAGATAAAATGCTCACAATAATAATGTTTTGAGTTAATAACACGTATATATAATTTAAAAATACAAATACAATGTATAACGATAGTACTTCTTTGGGTGGCAACTATAATATACTAATAATGATGATTACATGTATTTATATGTATACTTTCATTGGTGATGCATTATTTAATTAAACAAATAAGTTACCTTTGGATATCCTATATCTACCTAAGTAAAAAATACTTATAACCCTTTAATTTTTATTTAATCACTTAAAAATCAATTCCCTTTGGAGAATTATTTCTCATAAATTAATAAACTCAATATTCATGAATATCACAAAAAATCATAAATATCATAATTCATGAAATATTGCAATTATGTTTACCACTAAAATTAATATTTATCAACCATTATGGTTGAGCCACTTTGGTAGCTACCAACCTTTATATAATATGAATATTAAATTAGCTAATAATTTTTTCATTAATTATGTCTAATACAAAAATTAATAATCATCAATCATTATGATTGGGCTACTTTGGTAGCTATCAATCTTCACATAATATGAATATTAAATTAGAGATTGATTAATTCATCATTAAGTTACACATGTAACATTATACATACATACTCATACTGATTGATCTAAATTTAGGTAGGTTCGATCCTAGAAAGTTAATAGTTCAAAAATTCAATAAAAATATTCTTTTATTTTATATACATAATAAAACATATTATTTTTATTTTCGGACTCAGATGCCATAATTGAATCAATTTAAAATTGATTCTACATCATGTATGTATGTATGGGTACAAAATAATTATTTATTATGTTTAACAAAAAATAAATTAATTTTTTAGACTTACATATTATTCTAGAAATTCTAATTTCTTTAATAAATTAATAAATAAATAATTCAAAAGTAATTTTAAACTTTTGAACCATTCAATCAAATAAATATGAATAACTTTAGTTTTCAACTATCCAATATGATTATGTCTAATAACAATTCGAATAAAAGTATTACCCAAAATCTTTCTAATAATTAGACAAAACAATAACATACCAAACTATTCAATCCCATGCATTATTTAAAGTAGGCACGAAAATTAAGAAAAACACATGTATATTTATATCTCTCTACAAGGTGCAACACAAATTCACCCAAATATGAAATCAATAGCAAAATTCATATGTACGGAAATTCCCAAATTCTGATTAATGCCCAAACATTCATGTTCAGGTCATACCAAACATGCACGAAAATTGAAATAGAAAGCATCACATTAATTATTTATCTGTTGAATTATTATATATGTTTAACTTTTAGGCAATTTCAGAAATTGAAACAAATCCACAAAATTGATCAAAACCATACATGCCTACTGTATGAGCCGAATCCAATAAATTAAATTATTAAATTATTTAATTTTAATTTTAATTTTAATTTATACTTACACATATTATTTATGCAACATTAATGAAAAATAATGAGTTTCTAAACCGTAAACTCTGACACTACATGTAAACTATAATTTATTCGTGCAAACCATTAATTACAAATAAACATGAATCCTAAGATCTTAGAACTTCATTATCTTCACATTGCTATAATGCATAAATAAAGTAGTTAGATATAAACCTTGATCTATAATTGCATATTTTGTTAAGATCAAGCCAAACATCGAGATCTTTTATTTATTTATTTTTATTTTTATTTATTTTTATTATCTTTTTTTTTTTTGCGAAAGAACAACGTGATAAACTATAAGTACAAACAATAGCCAAAGCGTGTAGAAACTGATTTCTCTCTTTTGGCTTTTTACACGCATAAACATTATACGTGTTATTTCATTAGCGTACATAACTGATAGGAATATGCACTTTTATAAAGGCAGAGAGAGGATCAGTTTTCATTTTAGTAACTTTAATTCCACTTTCCATTAAAGTAAGGAATAAATAGGAAAACACAGCTCCAATAATTAATTACCAAAAAAAAGTTGACCAAATAATATAATATTAATCTGATAACTATTTACTTAACCACTAATTAATGCAATATATCATATGTCCAAATCATATGGGCCACACAATTAATAAATAATCTTACACATATGTCTTTCTTTCTCCTTCTTTTTTCACTTCTTTTTAGCATCGTATGGTATATTATTTAGACTGGTTGATTCATTAGCTTTCAAGTTTGTTAACTTCTGATACCATCAATTTAAGACTTTGTTTTGTCGAGCTGCTATCTCTTATGATGTGAATTTTTTTTTTTTTTGGGCATGATTATCTTGTTTGAATACCCTTTTTCAATTCTTTGGCAGGACCAGCCTGAGCCAATTGGAAAAGAGGTCCCATATTTTTCTTACTGTATTAATTATGTTTCCTTTAATATTAATTATCAAATAATGTAATTTCTATTATTGATGAATAAAAGTTAAATTTTTCTTAATGTATTAATTATATTTCCTTCAATGTACTAATTATGAAATAAATATAGCTCATATTATATTGATGAATACAAGTTTTTTAAAATTGGAAGAGTTATTGGAGTAATTTTTTAAATTCTCTTGCATATCAACATTATACTATTTCTTCTCTCACAAGCCTACAAAATAAAATCATTATCTCTATTTCATGTCAATAATTATTCAACATTATATTCATTGAATAGTTATTGATATGCTAGAGAATTTAAAAGATTATGTATATGCACATTAAATGCATATACATAATCAAAGCTTGAAATAATGGAGGACATGGAGGTGTGTATATGCACATAGATATAGAGAGAGAAAGAGATAACCGAATTAGTGAGAGAGAGAGAGAGAGCTTGGCCGAAATGGGGAGAGGAAAGAAGGGTTGGTTTGGTCTTGCAAATGGTCCCATGGCCCAAAACATGTCAAGTGTCAAGTGTGAATCCAACTTTATGCCAAGTTACCCATTAGCCCCTTATCTTTCAATGCAATGCCTCTTCTATCCCCAAAATATCTCCCAACTATGATGCACATAAATGTATATGCACATGAAATGTTTACAATGCATTTCAATACAAACGACAAAACCGGGAGAGATTCCCGAGTTTGGAAATCGCCATGACTTTTGAAAAATTCTAAAATGACACCGTCACATCTAATTAACATAAAAATAATTAAAAATACACTTCTAAAACTCTCAGTTTAAGAAAAAGACGTAAACGGCCCTCGGAGCTCGTGTGGCACGCAAAATGAGGCACGAAAAAATAAATGAAATAAAATTCAGAAAAATTCGGGACATTACAAGTGTGGCAGTAGTAGGCTGAGAGAAAAGATAGAATGGAGAAAGGGAAAGAGAGAGGAGAGAGGTCGTAGCGGTTGTGGTGGCTGCCGGTGGAGTGATTGATGGTTGGTGATCGGTGACGAGGTGGTTCTTTGGTGGAAATGGCAGGTTTGAGATTTTCATAAAAAAAAAAGGTTGGTCAAAATGAATGATTAGGGGCCAATTTGCACCAAAACAAACAATCGAGGGTTTTGTGCACCAAAAAAAAAAATAGGGTTTTTTTTGCACCTTTTTAATTTAAGAGGAGTTTTTCATGCACTTAACCTTACAAATTATGATAAGACTTTTTGCTTATTGTTAAGATAAACACTCTGCACACTTTAATTTTTGTTTCCTATTTATGTCTAGCCTATTTTCTTATGTCTTTGTACATGTAGTTGTCATTTTGAATCCAAAAACAAACATGACTTTTGTAGGAACATAAGCTAATTTACAACTGTCACTATTGAGTTGGTAGTCACCATTCATTTAAAATTCTAAAGCAAACATAGAACAACGGTCACAAACTTTTTTTTTTTTTTTTTTTTTCCCCGCTTAAAATTCAAGCAATTTATATAGATTAGTAAATATTTACAATGAACAAAAAAGGGGCAAACAAGCCACAATGGCAATACCATATGGAGAGGAACAAAGTGGCTGCAAGTGCCGTATTGTTCGAGCGGTTAAATTGTTCCCCGTGTCTGAGAGCCCGCGTTTGAGCCTTATACCATCTCATTCTTTCCAACCACTAACCCCTAACATTCTTGGCATGGAAAAAAAAAACCAACAGAGTGACTCAAATAACCATTGATTTTGGTGAAGGTCAATAAAGGTCAAAATCTTGATTGCTTTCGCATGTATTTGGAATCATTTAGAGTTCGACAGACTAAGATTACACTAGTGGTAGGATCCACGCCCCATACTTGCATCAAACTAGTATGACTTGTTATCATATCTTTTTACTTCGTTACTCATGGAATGGAATACGGATGTAGTGAGATCATCAGAAAATGAAAATTATTATGCATTGCTCCCCACTCCAAACAAAGAAAATAAAATTAAAGAAGAAAAAAACAATATATTGGGCAAACAGGAAATTAATATGATATGAATGTCAAACATTAATTATTAATAGAATGGTCTCTAATTTCTCACCTATAATTCCACCAGTAATATTCTCATTATAGAATTAAATTTTGAGACTTTGGCCCTCCAATTGACTATGAGAAGAAGGTTTAGGCAACTTTCCACAATCATAAGTTACAGCACCCACTGTTTTGGGGTAAAGAAGCTTGTAAAATATGGCATCCCTTAAGAACTTCATCCACCACCCAGAAGTATTTTGTTGCACCCACCCTGACAAATATGAGCCAGTGATCAATCCGGCAACACGCCATCTCCGTTCCTTAACGTACCTTGCTACAGCTTCGGCTGCCTCTCGTGGCACGAGCCTTCCATGCCGGATAAATACTTCCCCGATGTGTCGGCCTATGACAACTGCATCCTCCAGGGCTGAACAACCACCTTGGGCTAGTTCAGGAGTCATAGGGTGAAAGGCATCTCCTGCCACGGTGATGGTCCCCTTGCTTGCATTCTTGAGTATGATATCCCATGGACGCCTAAACATGAGAGGGGCCCATGTCAGCATCGAGAGATCAGAGTGCTCAACGACATCAAAGTATATCGGAGGGAAATCCTTGAGTAAGTTCTCAATGAGTTCTCTTTGTATCAATTTTGGATTTCCCGCGTTATCTTTCCCTGAAATTGTAAATAAATTGTTTAAAATGTTAGATATATTGTAATATAAAGAATGAGAGAGATTGTCTAAATAATAATTATAACTATTCAAATAGGTTAAGGTTGTATTCGGATGCGTGGAATTGGATTTTTGGAATTGGAATTTGTAGAATTGGAGAAAATTTTGGTTCAATTTTGTTAGTTGATTTTCTCCAATTCTACAAATTCAAATTCCAAACCTCCAATTCCACGCAAACGAATACATCAAGTCATTTTCTCATACCAAATGATTGAATTGTCTAATTAAAGTTAGATTATGCTGATTATTTATGTTATAGTGCTTAAAAGAAAACTAACCTTTAGAAGTAGAATTGCAAGCAAAGAACCAGTAAAGCTCTCTATCATTGAGGGGAACCAAACCACCCTTTTTGCCCACATCTACAAACTGTTGGAATTCTTGTTTCAACCCATGGCTTTTAGGATATATGGCTAGCCCACGAACTGCTGACCTACCAGAGTCCACTGGTGCACCAAGTCCCAACCAATTAGCCACCACCGAGTGAACCCCGTCACACCCTATCAGAACCTGTAGTTGCCAACATTTTTTAGAATATATATATATATATATATATATATATATATATATATATATTTATATAACTATTCCTTAATATAGATATTTCTTAGTCAATTCTGGACGGATTTGATTCTCTACTAATTTTAAATCCTAATCTCAAAAAAGAAAAAATTAATAAATAATAATAATAATAATAATAATAATAATAATTTGGAGTTTGATACTCAGATAATTTTGACTGATTTAGAGGGGCGGGTTAGAATGCCCCGGTATATTAAAAAAAATATAATTAAAGATAAAAAATTAACAATTAATCATAATAACAAAAACGAAAAAAAAATATTACTAAAATTTAAAAGTATTATTAAGAAAAAGAAAAACTATAACTAATAAAAGATTACGATTTTAAACTATCTTTCCAAATCCGTCTCTCATTCTAATAGAAGCGAGATGACACGGAGTTAAAATGACATCTTTCTGAATGTTTGTAGTTTACCTTTGCTTTTATGATAGTTCCGTTTTCTAAGTGTATGATAGCAATGGACGTGCCTTGTTGTTGGTGGGCTTCAATGGAGGTTAATTTTGAACAAAAACGGATTGTGTCAACTGACAGTTCTTCAACAAGAGCTTCTAGCAACGCTTTACGGTGCACGAACGTTGGTCCACTTTCATCCCTGTTACCAAACAAGCCAAGCATTAATTTTTGAGCATTTATTGTGGTCTGTTAAAGTAATTTAAAAATCTATTGTAAGATATTTTCTTATATTTGTGCCCACATGATTTGGACACGTAATTTACTTTTATTATTTGGTGGTTAAATAAAATAGATATCAGATTAATATTACATTATTTGGTCAATTCATAAACTACTTTTTTGGTAATTAATTATTAGAGAAATGTTTTCCTATTTATTTCTTACTTTGATGGAAAGTGGAATTAAAGTTAGTAAAAGAAAAACTGGTCCTCTCTCTGCCTTTATAAAAGTGCATATTCCCACCAGTTATGTACGCTAATGAAATATAACACGTATAATGTTTATGTGTGCAAAAGGTCAAGAGAGAGAAATCAGTTTCCACACTTTGACGTGCAGTTTATCATGTTATTCGTTCCGCAGAAAGGATCTTGACGTTTGCCTTGATATCTACAATATATGTAATTATAGATCGAGGTATTTATATCTAACTATTTATTTATGCATTATAAGTACGTGAGAATAATGAAGTTCTAAGAATTAGAATTAATGTTTATTTGTGATTAATGATTTGCACGAATAATTAAAGTTTACATTGTTATATGGAAAATAACTATAAAAAAAAATTCATTTTTTGAGAAATTATTGCATGGTCTAAAATTACGTAAAAATTATTCATTGCAAACTGTTGCAACGATGATATGGTGCAATGGATGACTACAAAGTACAAACACTTTACCTAAATACATATATCAGTTTTTTTATTCTATTGTAACTCAATTTTACTTTGTTAGGAATGTTTGTAGCCGTCTGTTGCACCATGTGATCGTTACAACAATTGCAATGAATAATTTCTCTAGAACTACATAATTTGATCAATTATATAACCTGACATGTAAATAAAAAATTAAATAAAACTGACACATTTAATTACGTGTAAAGTTATGATTAACTTGTATCACGTACTCTCAGACCATGTAATAATTTTTTGGGAGAATTTCAACTCCCATTAAAAAAATAAAAAATAAGAGTGTGAGTGACTTGTTATAGTAAATATAATAATAATAATAATAATAATGATAATGATGATGGTCAATGGACATTTTTCAAAAATCTTACAAGAGCCCTCTTATTGTGACCATCATTTAATTGTTTGGACCAAGAGAAAATCAGAATTTGTTTTGCTTTATATTTTTATGAAATTTGAATTTTAAAATAAATAAAAGGGGATTAGTGATTTAGGGATGGAATTTTCGGGTTATCAAATTTAATTTATATGAGAGGGATGGTGAATTTCATCACATGATGTCGTGATAGTAGTCCCACCACCACATTCACATTAATTGAATTCGATAATGATCGAATTCCATCTTTAAATTATTATTCATAAAAAGAAATATGACTGTATTACCATTCTATGATAAATTTATAAAATAATAAGAGCAAGAAATTTATCCACATTACCCATGATGTTTAGATATGATTATTATTTTTTTTTAAAGTTCCTTTCTTTTATACTACAATCATATTCTGACTAGTGTGCAAGAGATTATTTCCCTATATTCTTAGTTGATGCTCATGATTATCACCTGTCTGTCGCACCAAAAGAGACCTCTTGGATAGTTCCATTGCCAACATCAGTTATGTATCCCCTGAACCAAGAAAATAATACTACGTAAGAGATAGCGAGAAACATTAGATATACTCACATACCAGTATTTTAGGTAGAAAACAATATCTAATTGATACAGTTTTAGTATTAAATACAGTGATCGATCTATATTATATATATGTGTGTGTGTATATATATATATATATATATATATATTATATATGTGTGTGTGTGTATATATATATATATATATTATATATATATGTGTGTGTGTGTATATATATTATATATATATGTGTGTGTGTATATATATATATATATTATATATATATGTGTGTGTGTGTGTATATATATATATATATATATATATATATATATATATAATTGAGCATGAAATTACACTTTCAGCTGGCCCAGCACACTCTATATAGAGAGTCCCCTCTCTCTCTCTCTCAATCGTGGCATATTAGGTGTATATAATAATAATACATACACCTTATTTATCTATACAATTTTATAATGTGCAGCTTGTAGTCCACTTTAAAGGTACATAAAATTATTGATCTTGTGACATCAAATGAAATAATTGATCAAGTTACCTTAAATGCGAGATTTAGCTAATATTTAAATTTATATGTAGTCAATTAACTTATTCACATTCTTACAGTACACTTTTAGATAGAATAAATAACAATAAGTGATACAAAATAAAAGCATGAGTGATATATATTTTTTTGCCAATAAAAAAATTAAATTAAATTAAATTAAATTACTCATTTAAAATGAAATGCATTTTTCTAGACATAAAAAAGTTGATTGGTAGATAATCCTAAATTATCAGACGACATACAGGTTACAATGACAATGCTACAACCAACAAGGACTGACAAATTACAAACACATTAATAATTATTAATAGAAAATGTAAAATCATTTAAAATACAAAATGTAAAAATTACTCCTTATATTTCATAATAAGTGTCATGTTTTAAAATTCGTTGTGAGTTAGGATTTTCAAAAATTCACAAAGTGTGAGTTACAAATTTTAAAACATAACATTTATTATGAAATAGAGGGAGTAAAAAATTTAAAGATTGCCGTTATTTGATTTATAACTAAAACAAAAAGGAAAATCAATCAAAAACTATCAACTGAGTTGAATTGATTCCCATTTTTTGTTTTTCTGAACGGTAATTTAAAGTGACCACTCTTTCTCCGTACAATTAAAAAGTTGAATATTTGAGCTTCCCGTACTCTCACCATTGTTGGATTGAGATGTGCAAATTATTAATCCAATAATTGATGATACAAACTTAGGAAGAACGTACAGGAAATTGAGAATTACCTTTTGGAAGGATTGTAAACGGAAGTGAGCTTATGAGAAACACCAAGAGCATCAAGTGCAAGCCATGCATTTGGGAAGAGGCCGAGGGCTGCACCGGTGGCTCTGAGCCCTTCCGATCTCTCTAACACCAAAGCTCGCACCCCAACTCTCTTCAGAGCCACCGCTGTGGCCAACCCTGCTATCCCTGCCCCAACAATCACCACATCCTCCACCATCTCCATCTCTCTAGGTTTTTTTATCACTTATGATATCTTATTGTATCAGTTTATACACACACACACACACACTCAGAGAGACAACAATTGTATTGGGAGCCATAATTGACTCTTGCGACAGCATTGGACTATGATGAACCCCACAACTGACTCTTCCATCCAGATTAAACGAATAGGATAAAACTGCAGACAACTGACTCAATTGTCTCCCAAGAAAACTGAGTATTACACGAAATTTCAATTGAGTACTACCACGAAACTTCAAAGTAGTGGTTGGCTTGCTCTCCCTATCATGGAGTTTGCACTCTCTACGTCTCTTTTAACCATTAATCACCAACTCCTATTGGTCATAGCATAAAAATATAAAATAAATTACTCTGACCTTCCTCATGTTTACTTTTATTACACACACATTAAACTAAAGCTAACATAGAACAACGGTCACAATCTTTTTTCTTTTTTTGCCTTTTCCTCTTAAAATTCAAACAATTTATATAGATTAGTAAATATTTACAATGAATCTTCAAATCGTTCATTTGAAAAAATGGAAATCCTTCTTATGATACTTCCCAAAAAGGGAGAAAGTATAATAAGAAATAGAACTTTGATTTTATATAATATAAAAATGGAAAAATAAATAAATAAAACTGAAGTAGAATCAACTCTTGGTAACTAACTATTTGCAACTTTATGATACATGTATCGGGTGTACTCAATGTGTCCGAGCTTGCCCCATAGATGTATTAGAAATGATACCTTGGGAGGGGCAAACAAGCCATAATGGCAACACCATGTGGAGACGAACAAAGTGGCAGTAAGTGCCGTATTGTCCGAGCGGTTAAATTGCTCCCCGTGTCTGAAAGCCCGTGTTTGAGCCTTATATCATCTCCTTCTTTCTAACCCCTAACCCCTAACATTCTTAGCATGAAAAAAAACCAACAGAGTGGCTCAAATAATCGTTGATTCTGGCGACGGTCGATGAAGGTCAAAATCTTGATTGCTTTCGCATGTATTTGGAAAATCATTTAGAGTTCAATAGACTAAGATTACACTAGTGGTAGGATCCACGCCCTATACTTGCATCAAACTAGTATGACTTGTTAGACTATCAGGCTCTTTGTCATGACTCTTTGTATTTATAAGTTATCATATCTGTTTACTTTGTTACTCATGGAATGGAATACGGATGTAGTGAGAACATCAGAAAATGAAAATTATTATGCATTGCTTCCCACTCCAAATAAAGAAAATAAAATTAAAGAAGAAAAAAACAATAAATTGGGCAAACAGGAAATTAATATGTTATGAATGTCAAACATTAATTATTAATAGAATGGTCTCTAATTTCTCACCCATAATTTCACGAGTACTATTCTCATTATAGAATTAAATTTTGAGACTTTGGCCCCCCAATTCAGTATGAGAAGAGGGTTTAGGCAACTTTCCACAATCATAAGTTACAGCACCCACTATTCTGGTGTAAAGAAGCTTGTAAAATATGGCATCCCTTAAGAACTTCATCCACCACCTAGATACCCAGTTACTAGTTGATCGGTGCGGAAGCAGATACCCAATTCCTCATTCTTCAAATTGGCATTATATAAAAATGGCAAAATCATACTCCTCATTGAATACCTGAAAATTTCAGAGAGGTGAAGGTGAGACTTATCATTAAGGGTGACAAATTACGACACGACCCGTCAACACGACACGAACAAGACACGAGATAAGTGGGTTTGGGTTGACTTTAAATAAATTCGGGTCATAAACGGGTTGACACAATTAACCCAATTACTTAACTAAGAAAGAACAGATTGTCAAACATATTAAATGTTGACGGGCCCCTTTCCAATGCGTTTAGAAAACGGACTTTTTAATGCGAGAGGTCGCTTCGCAAGGTCAAACTAAGATTGTGGTTTAAGAAGCTTTTCTAGTCAAATTTACATTTATAAAGCCACTACTACAACTAATGAAGTATAGCGAGTAGGGATCGTCCACAGAGATTATACGTGTTGGAATTTAACTTCGACTCTAATGTACCAAATGATTGCAAAGAGAGATTTTGGTTGATTACACTAAGGTGCAATGAAATTAAAATGCAAGAAAAGTAAACTAGTGAGAGATATGGATTTAAGGGATGAGAAGAGAGGACTTAGGGTGTTGGAATCACCACTAAGCTCATGTAATTAACCACTTGCTTTCCATTAATGGGGAATACATTGTTGTGAACAAAATGCAACTACCAATTGCAATATTAAGCACGGACCATCTAATTTAGGCATAAATTGTCTATCTAAACTAAATGTAGCACAACCCATCTATTTTAAGTATGACCCATCAAACTAGTAACAATTGTAGCACACATCAATCTAGAGAATCATGGAATTTGCAATAATAAGCCATGAAATATCTAAACAAGCATAGATTATCTACTTACCTACAAACATGAATTAAATTGTAGAACAACCTATCAAGCACAAGTATAAACCATCAAATTAATTGACAAACCCATTATATGAAAACCCATGTCTAGCCATCACTAGATTCTCAATCAACCACATATAGACATTCAATTAATATAGAAAAATTAGTGTAGAGATCAATTCCCCAAATAATCATACATAAGACAACATGTAATTAAAATAGAGAATCAATAGGAAGAATTAAACCATATGAATCATGTGAGACATAATTCCTAATTTAATCACACATAGACATGTAAATAAACTAGAGAATTAATAGGAAGAATTAAACCATAGAAATCATAGAAATATACCAAGATTCATTAAATTCACAAGGCTAGAACACTAATCACAACAATATATATATAAATCCCCAAAAATAGAAATACAAGGGTTTAGATTACACAAGACTTAGAGCTCATCCAAGCCCTAAGTGTAGATCTAGCCAATAATGGATGAGGTAGATGTGGTCATGGAATTAAGCTTCAAACATGGCTTCATCTTCTTCTTCCTCTTCTTCTTCTTCTTCTTTGAAGCTCTAGAGATGGAGAGAGAGTGGGTCTAGAGATGTGTTCTTGAGATGAGCCTCCACTTCCCTCTATTCTTTTAACCCTAATCTCTAACTTTGCTAGAGAGAGAAATATAAAATTACAATATAGAAAATAAAATGATAAAAGCTCCTTTACAAAATGGATCACTTCCCTTTATATAGAATGTCCTTTTTTTAGCCACTAAGTCTGGAATATAGTCCCAAAAATATCTAATCCCGCAACTTTTTGGTAGGTAGAATTCGCGTGCACAGGAATAAGACAGCTCGCTGCTAGCACATGTTCGATTAATCAGACTTTTTCTTCGATCGATCGGACTTTGTTCGATCGATCCAACTTTTTCTTCGATCGATCGGACTTTGTTCGATCGATCCAACTTTCCTGATAGATCTCACTTTTCTTTAATCGATCTTACGATCGATCTCACTTGGCAGCTTTTCAGTATCGGCCTCTTTTAGCTCCAAATCAGCTTCTTTTTGCTCCAAATCTTCACCAAGATTTAGTTTGACTCCAAAAAGGCCTTAAGAAACCATTTTTAGCCCATTATAACATTATTGACTTGAAATAGACAAAAACACAAATAAGTACTAAAACGGGAAAATAAGATAGATAAAGATCCTAGAATACTCAAGTTTAAGGGGTTTAAAAGTGTATTTTTCAGCGCTCATCACACCCCCAAACTTAAATATTGCTAGTCCCTAGCAATGGACTACGAAGTAAAGAAATGAAATAAATAACTAAACAACAATAACTAGAAAGCAATGAAATGATAACACCACTTTCGTAGGGAACACGATTGCACTTAGCACATGCAACAAGCCTTTTAAACCCCGTGGACAAGTGAAGTCTCGTGAGGGTTTCCAGAGATGATACCCATAAACATTAAGCTCATTCTTTCTAAAGAGGCACCAATATTGCAGACAAGCATTGGGAGAAAACTACCTCAAGTATGCAATTTTTCAAACATTTCCAAGCAATTTCCCAAAATCTCAATATCAAGCAAGCAAGTATGGTTCTCCACATATCAAGAAAATGATTATACAAATTAAAACAACACTAGAATTCTTTTTGAGTGAACCGGCATCAATGTGTTGCTATCTAAGCCAACTAAAGAATTAATCACATCCTTACCCTTGAACTAGCACACAAATCTAGTACCAATCATCAAGACAAAAAGTGGACCTTTTTTTAAAGCTTTATTGTTCTTGGTGTGCTTATTCTTTCCACTCAATTTTTATTTTTATTTTTTATTTTTTTTTAGGATCAAAGATGTAAGCATGGTACAATGTGTTGATGTATTAAGCTTTCTAGCGATTCATAAGGTCGAGTGTTAGGTCAATGACTCCCAAACCAGACGGCTTTAGGGCACTAGGCGTTCAAACACCCCTATGGACTTACAAGCTCAAATCAACTAGGCTACAAATCAAGACAACCTCCATCTAATCATTTCCCACTTCTCACCTTTTGGGAGAAGTCCTCACTTTTTATTACTTTTGCAACTTTTTTTTTTAGCAAGTTCAATTATTAACCTAGAGTTTGGGCCCTCCTCTTTTTGGCGCGAGAAATTCAGTGCTTGATGATGCTAGAATCCCGGCTACTCAATGAAAAGGGTTTGTTATCCACCTTTATCAAGAATGAAAGATTTTAATGCACTACTAGCTCAATTGGGATATAACCAATTCAATAATCAACAAAGCATGTACCCCACAAATGAATGCTAGTGTGTGCCTGTGCTAGTGTAGAATTCTAGAATGAATCTCAAAACAATCACAAAATCAAGATGATGTGGACCACAAGTGCAAACAAGATATCAATCTTTCGAAAAATTTACTCCTAAATGGCATCCACAAAGCATACAAGGAGTATTGGACTCTCAAGTCAGGCAATTTTTAAATTTTAAGCAATATAGTCCTCAAAAGATCAAAATCATTGCTAACATGGATCTCAAATCTCAATCATGCAATTAAGGCTCAAATCTATGTAGAATGCAACAAAGTCACCTTATCCCCAAACTTAAACCTCACATTTTCCTCAATGTGCAATGAGAACAATGGAAAAGATGGAAAGAGTATACCGTGGTGGCGAAAGTATGAAGCCCGGTCATGATCCAATTCGAAAGACGTCTCCCC